ATTCCAACATCGTAGCAACAAAAATACGTCCTTATACCTGCCGTACATACTTCGGCACACTAGGTCGCTAGTGCTCAACCGTAGCGGATGCCTACCTCGGAATGTCTGTCCACATCACCATCCTTGGTGACACCGATATTCCAGCTGCCTCCAACCGGGTACGCCGTCACGAAAAAGCACGCAAGCACACACTGAACGGTGGGAGACGGCGGGTGACACATTATAATTTAATACACATTCATATACAGGGTGCTGCAAAAAATTTCGTGCCGCGTGTGGGTTCGTGGATGAGTTCTTGGGCACCGTTCGAAAGGTCTCGGCGCGATCTGTTTGATGATGTATGAACCACTTTACTACTCGAACTGTGCTCCGAGTTATGATTAAACGAAAAAATGGCTATATAGAGAAATATGCTACCGTTTTTTAACTTTCGGCATTTCTCGTTGCCAATGAACCCCTGTATATATTATTACTCGATATGAAACTTTTGTAGTTTAATACTAATAAAAATATATAATATCACTTATATTCTTATAATATAAAAAAACAAATATATGGCAATTACTAAATATAAGTACATGTCACCATTATGTGCTACTACCAGTTCAACACATTCCAGAAGCCCCTCGTACACCATCGTGGTGGTGAAGGCATCATCACTAAATGATCGACCCAAGATGAACCATATGGTCACAACTAGAGTATATTGAAACCTGATAATAATGACATCAACAAAGCACGCCGAAACCAATCAGTTTGGAGGAATCATATCTAAGGAGTGTATTTTCTTAGGAAATTTCGAGAACTTTTCGAGAAGCACAGATTTTTAGAACTTTTTTAGGAAAAAATACTAAATACGCGAGCCAAGATGAACCATATAGTTACAACTAGAGTATATTGAAACCTGACAATAATGACATCAACAAAGCACGCCGAAACCAATCAATCAGTTCGGAGAAATCATATCTAAGGAGTGCATTTTCTTAGGAAGTTTCGAAAATTCAAAGTTCATACCGAAAATTCGAAAACTTTACAAAAAACCACTGATTTTTAAAACTTGCCTAAGGAAGAAATACCAAACGATCGCAAGATCAACCATATGATCACAACAAGGGTGAATTGAAGCCTAGAAATGATGACGTCAACGAACGAAGTAACCCAAGTGATACCATAGCTAGCGTCAATTTCGAAAAATCAAAATTTTCATTAAAATTTCAGCTAAAAATGACCAGAAATATTGATTTTTCTTTTAATTTTCAGGAAAAAAACATGCATCCTGAACCCAGCTACCATGGCAAGAACACGACCAGTTTAATCAATGCAAATTTGCAGAGAGGACGGTAGGCCTCCAAAAGATCTTGCAACATCCAATAGAAAGTCGCCAATGCATACCTGAATCAACCCTACTACACACAGCAGTGGAGTTTGCCGCCGCTACATAGCAATGCTGAGCGAGGCGTGGTTGATAAAGAACAGCCACGTGAAGGGTGCCCATACACTCATCTCGCCCTCTTTATAGTAGCCAGTCAGTGAACATAACATTGCTATCACAGCACAAATCGGCTTCAAAAACACCTATACACAACTGGATGATTCACGCTGCCATACCCACACACTCCCACAAATTGCAATACTGCGACACGGATAGCAGTAAGGAACCTCATATCTAGCTGAGGAGGAGGCAAGCACCACTTCAGAGGTAGGGGATAGTCTCTTCGCACAGGGACCGTCTCCATGTGCTGAACCTGACCGAGATGATATTGTTGTTATACCCTATCAGCTGCTCCACTCAGTGATCGAACAATTGCGGGTTAGTCCTTACTTACAGTGTGAACCAAACCGCTATGCAAAGTAATATTTTCAACGACTTCAAATTTTCGAGTAATATCACCATCATAACAATGTGAACTGATTAACACCATCTCAAAAGTATTCCGTAGTCTATCAAATTGTTCGTCTTTTCACATGGGGTACTACGCCACTTCACATAAAACGGGCCGTGAAACTCCAGTATGAACCAAACCGTTATGCAAAGTAATATTCCCAAATGCTTCAAATTTTTTAGTATCAACAAGATAACATTCCCTAGTCTATATTCATCTCGCTGAATTGATCAATTGAAACCACCTCGGAAATCCATATATGCATAACTCTTTGTAGTTGCTAAAACGAATATTCCACTTGATCCTACTGCAAGATCAAGTAGAATAATCAGTTTTAGCAACTACTGTATGATTCCTACACATCGGCGGTCTCCTCCTAAACATGCCACCATAAGATTGAGGAAACTATAAAGGGCGAAGGACAGGTAGACGTGTCGGACCTAGAGAGCAAATACAAGCCTACGACGAAGCCCTGGCAACTAATGAGGACCTTCGAAGCGACCATAGCGCGTCTGCTCTATATGCAGCAGCACCCAAGTTCAGATCCCAGCATCAACTTTTTCGATCACCGTGTTGGAAAGCGGAGTAAAATATGTACATCATCAACTACATATGTTAGTGATAACGAACAAGTATCAAATAAAATCTTAGAAAACTCACACGAACTCCTATAATTAGTTTTAGCAACTCCTGAGCTCAGGTGCTGAGGAAAGCGATTACATATATTCCTATTCCAACACTGTATAGGAAACTCCTGAGCTCAGTGAGGTAAGCAATTACATATATTCCTACTCCAACACTGTATAGGAAACTCCTGAGCTCACGTGCTGAGGAAAGCGATTACATATATTCCTACTCCAACACTGTATAGGAAACTCCTGAGCTCAGTGCTGAGGAAAGCGATTACATATATTCCTACTCCAACACTGTATAGGAAACTCCTGAGCTCCGCCGACAAAAGCCTCTACCCTTCCAACACTATTTCACGTCTTACCGTATCCCCTATAAATCGCGTACTAGGCAGCAATATCGTTATCACTGAACATATACTCGACACCGGTACAACTACCACTATCCTAAAAACACAACAACACTGACCATCATCACAGCCTATCACTACCTGCACACCAAACCCCTATAGTATCTATCACCAAATACCCTGCCAGCATTTAGATGCTTCATAACGTGCACTCCACATATTATACACGATAAGAGAGTAAACGCCAAACTCATCGTCAACGGGTGACGCAACACGGCCAAGGTCTTCTGCTCCTTAACGCTAACCCTACCAGAGGAATCCTTAAACCACGCCTATTAGAAATGAATTCTCACACATTGAGCATTCCTAAACCAACTAATAAATGCACCAATCACTACAGGGCAACACAACAATAAAAGGAGATGATAAAAAAATAAATTGTTGGAAAAAACTCAGCGTTAAAGTTCTTCCTCATCAGACGCGTCGTCGTCTTCTTTTTTCTCATTCCTCTTCAGATGCAGAGCGATGTATTCCACCAACTCGTCCGTTTTCCAGTCGTAAACTCTGTAAATGAAAAAAAAATAAACTAGTGTGCTCAGAAACCACTGTAGAAAATATGCACATAATCAACTACACACGTCGGTGACTGTAGAAAAAATTGATGAAATTTTCAGCATTTTTCCACCCGAACCAGTTTATAAACTTAGCGTTAACCTAGAGGTACTTCTCGTAAAATTCGTAGAAATTCTATTACTAGTGAGAAAACTCCTGGACTCAGCCGAGGAAAACGAAAATATATTCCAACACTATCACGAATATCAAATCTAAATATACAAAAAAAATTCCCCTCAACTTGGACTTATCATTTTCACAGTAATTCACTCGATGTAGGATGGCACTTGTGAAAATTCTGGGAAAAATGAGGAAATTCTTATCGCTTTCTGTACACTTCTACCCGAATTTGTATGTGAACAACAACGACAACAACCGGCGTTAGAAAATATGCACATTGTCAACTACATGTGTGGACGGCACTTGTGAAAATTCTGGGAAAATTTTAGAAAATTTTTACCGGAGTTAATCCATTAACAGACGTAAAATGCGTCTCAGTGGAGCCCCACAATACGGGGAGTGCGAAGCACTCCTCTGACACAACTATCCTGTCCCTCTGGTCTGTGTGACGCTATGAACAAGGCTGAATCATCAAGCTAGAATCTAAGATGTAAAGTCTTTCTGTCTTTGTCCACTACACTTTATTAATGTATTGGTGTAGGCACGGTTTGTTTCCACCAATTTTTTTTTTAACCTTCCTACGGGGGAGGCTGGTAGCGGCTAGCCCAAAGAGGCGTTGTAGTCGAGCTACCAAAGCCACCAGCTCGTTGCCTTCAGATGCTAATGCACTGCCAGGCGCGGTCTCACCCAACTCCCTCGTAGAAGGACACCACTCAACTGAGTGACTGAAAACTCTGCACTGTTCTAAACTAAGTAGCTGTTGTGTTTACTATGCCAGGCGAAACGGTGCGAGAATTTTATTACTTTCTGTACACTTCTACCCGAATTTGTATGTAAAATAGTGAGGAAACCTCTGAGAACCTCAGCCGAGGAAAACGAACATATATTCCAACACTGGACTTTCACGACCCGTTTTACGTGAAGTGGCGTAAAACTCAGTGAAAAACGCGATATTCGTGAACTGTGCTTTTCATATCACTAGGGTGGTAAAACTCCACTGAACTCACTCTAGATAATCGACATCAGCTCCTTCTCCCTCTACTTCACCATCATCGAGTTTAGTCAGCGCCAAAACAGTGCGAGCCACGTATCGAATCTGTAAGTGTGTGAGGGGAAATACGCACATGGTCAACTTCTCCGAAAATTGCGGAGCTAAAATGAGTGAGTTATAAATTATAAATCTTACGGGTGAAAATTTTAAATTTCGATCCAACTAAAATTGTGAAATATGCAAATTTCAATATGGAGATCTTCGGATTCATTGGAGTTTCACCTGTTTTACGTAAACTGGTGTAAAACTCCGTGAAAAACGCGATATTCACACTACGCAGTAGTCGTGAAATATGTTTTTCACGAGTGTTTTTCATATCGCGGGTGAAACTCCACTATTATATGATATTAGTATTATTTCTATTATAATCAGCGCCATATTGTTTATCTTCACGAAAATTCATTTCTACCCGAACTCTTATGTAGTCTCCTATATTAGTTTCGAAAGTTCCCGATAAAAAATTCTAACATATATTCCTCCAAAATCTGCCAACCTTGGAAGAGCCCACAGTCGAGTTGAAATCCAGCACAGTTCGCTACGTGAATCAGCAATGTGCATGCGTGCGCGGCGAACCACGTCATCCACTGGTATCGAGCAATGTCGGCAATCCACCGAAATTCTCCCAGGTATGGTGGGAAAATATTCAAACAAGTATGGGAATTCTGAGGAAATTTTGGTAGTTTTTTCATAATTTCTATACACTTCTACCCAAGCTCATACGAATAAAGAGACTAAGCAGAATTTCCCAAAAATTTCATGAAAATTTTTTATATCGTCACAGTCACACGTCGTCGAGCATCTACAAATTTTTCCACACGCCTCCCAAGTTCATCGATTCGCGATACACGAGCTCTTTCCCAAACTCCAGAGTTTCCTTTTCCCCTAGTAAATTGCCGCAAAAAATTAAAAAAAATTTAAATTTTTATAAATAATTCTCACCGTAACAGTAATTTCATATCCACGTTTTTTCAATTCCGGCACTTTCCGCTTCACAAAATCACTGAGATCTTGTCGAGCTTCCATAGCCATTCGCGACGTCACCAACTCCTACACATTTCAAAAACCTTCACCATCACAACAACTGTTAGCTCCTCACTGCTTTCTCATATATTTCATTCTGACCACTGGCGTCCACCAAATTGCAGCACTTCCGACAGTCTTCCTCAATACTCTCAGCCTCCTTCTGAAGCTCCAGATTCCTTCCTGAACGCAAAGTCCGTATCACACAGTTGCGTGATTCACACTGCTGCGATTTACACTCACACTAGGAGGATATAGTATGAAATTTTGAGAAAATATGCACACGGTTAACTACATGTGTCGGTGATAATATTAAAATTTTGACAGAATTGTGAGGAATTCTAGTTGGTTTCCGCCCATCCCCCCTCCTATTCGTTTATAAAACCTCAAAGTTTTCCTTCTCGAACACAAAGTCCGTATCACACAGTTGCGTGATGCACACTGCTGCGATTTACACTCACACTGGGAGGCTATTTTATCACTGAGTTTCATATCGCCGATCGAGGATTGAAAAAAATGTCGGGCGTACAAAAAGGACTTGAAGTGGCGTCGTAAAACTCAGTGAAAAACGCCATATTTGCGGTGATATGCAGTAATCGTGAAACATATTTTTCACTACTGTTTTTCCTGAAACTATATCACCCGGCCACCCAAGAGAACTCCACGAAACTCACTTAATCGCACACAAGTATCGCATTTAAGGATGGTCGGGTCAAAGCCCAACTCCGTACAATTAACATCACCAGCACCGACCACACCAACAGTTACGATGAGAGCTACTGGCAAGATCCTCATTGGTTGTATAAAAACACAAGTGAAAACTGACCGAAGACACAGCTGATCACAGCTATTATAATAGAGTTTCACCTGTTCTACGTGAAATTCGCCGTTTGCAGTCGTCGGGAAATAGGTTCCTCACTAGTGTTTTTCATATCACGGGTGAAACTCCAATGTGCTATTGAGAAAAGCCTTCTTTCCTTAGTCACAAACTA